GCAGCAAGATAATTGCCAAAGAGCTCAGAGGATAAAAGGTCCTTCTTCATAATGTTCACCCCCACTCGTTTAAAAAATCAATACTAACATCAAGCAGGACAGTGGCAGATTCTTGCATGGCTGCTGTGGCATCGAGGTTGGAAACGTGATTTTTTAAAAACACCCAGCTGGACTAGAAAGAAAAGAAAAGGTTCAAGAATAAGTTCAGAACCCACACTCCACTGGTGCACGCGTGTGTGGATGGAAGGCCTTTTTGTCCTTGAAACCTTTGCTAAATAACTGCAAAGCAGCAAATCTGCTCTACATTAGATGAGTTTTTGGAAATATGTCAGTCTAACTTTAAAGAATTTAGATCCTGTTACACCAACCCACTGATCAGGATGCCTGCCATCAATAGGTCCTGAGATGGCCGAGGTAGGAGGGCTGGATAAGAGGTCCTCTGGGATACCTCCTGGCCTCCACCGTCTATGAGTCTGGGTTAGACCTTCACACTTGCAAAAGACACAAGAGAGGGAACACTTCCCACTTTTACACTGTTGTGATTGGCCTTCTGCCATTTGTTACTCCTCTTATCCCTGCCCTTCAGAATTTCAGCACCCCCATCCCCATTTCATTATCTATTTAGCTGTTTTCCCCGATGACAAGGTAGAACTTGGTGTTTCGCTTCCCCAGAAAATGACTATTTTGTTCACAAATCATAGTTGTTTAGAACTGGAAGGGGCTCAGACTCAGAAGTCATGGTGGGGGGCAAGAAGGGAGGATAGACAAGATCACTCTGCTAATTAGTAGGGAGAGCTTTCTAGAACACAAGTTTCCCAGCTCCTAGGCTAATGATCTATGCAATAATACACTGTTGCAGAAAAAACATCAGAATATTTACAAAAAAAAATGGTTGACTGCTGATGTGAAGCCCGTTTAAAGAAGAGTAGTCCAACTCTATTTTCTGAAGAACCACTTAAGATCAGTTTCTTCTCATTTCATAACCCCAACTAGTAATCGAGTTTCCTAGGGATGATCCATTAACAAGTGCATTTTAAGCCTTTAGGTGATCAATTTAGAAGGGAAAAAAAGGCTATTAAACATGCTGGCCAAGCTTAAAAATATCCCTTTCCGTAGCGAAAAGGATTGACAACAGTAAATCTCCCACCTTAAGATGAAGTGAATGTGTAGCCCCCACCCCCACCCCAGCAACAGGCTATTTCCTAGTTGAGTTTAAAAATTCAATGACGTTCCTGTTTCAACCCACACATCTGTGTCACTGTCAGCGTCAGTGGCAGGAAAACAGACAAAGTCACCCTTTGCTAATGATTTCCTAACATGGAATTTCCTTGTATCTCCTAAAAGCTTTCTTTTTCCAATGCCAAACTGTCCTCCCCCCTTAAACACATTGTACTGAAGGAAAACTGAAAATGGCCGGAAGAGGACGATTTTTAAGGAGATCTTGTAAGGAAGAGCTTCAGCTCTTGGTGATATTTTTAAAGGGGGAAGGGGGGAAGAACTGCTAGTTTTTCCAAAGCCAGCAGGAACACAAGAGAGAGATTTCCTCCCAGTCATCTGGAAATCTCTCAGCCCCATGTCTTTCTTTTGCTTTTCCTGCCTCCCCTTTCCCAAGTTCCACTTTGAGCAACGTTCTAACATCAGTATTGAAGGAAACACACTCACACACTGGAGGTAGGCACCGGGAGAGGACAAGGCGGCCCCCAGAGCAGGGAACAGACATTGGAGAGTCACCAAAGCACAAAACAACATAGGAGCCCATCACTTTTCCCCTCTGGAGAATATCCTATTTAATATGCAAACTGGTCATCAGGAGAAAAGAGGGCTGTTACTTTAAGGGGAAGAAGCTGATTAGCTGCTCTGGCTGGCAGCAAACAGCTGGTCTGTCCGGCAGGTTCAAGGCCATTTCAGCTTCTCTCTTATGGAGGCACCATATGTTCCATCTCGCACATCAGCAGCTTTATTTTCCAATGATCTTGCTCCAGAAGACAAGCACAAAGGGGGGAGGAGAAGGTAGAACCAGTAGTTTACCCTTTGATTACTTTCTTGTGGTTTTAGATGCAGTTGGGATGCGTGTGTGTGTGGGGGGGAGGGGGTGTTAACGCTTCACCTTCTACTCCAAAGACCAGAGAAAAAACGTTTGACCACCACTCGTTAATAACCTCCAGAGATGGGAGGGGAGTTGAGTAGGGAAAGTATGCAAAAAGGCACAAATAAAACGTTGACATCAGATTAAATCGGAATGGGAGGGGTGGAGGTGGCTAGAGAGATCGGGTGGAATCTGACTTCGCTCTGAGACCCACTAGCCTGAGTTTGGGACCCGCCCACTTCTCCTTATTTGTCACTTCTTCTTATTGTCAGTATTCCCTCCCAAACAAACTTCCCGAGAGAAGCTGACCAATCTGGGGGACAGGGGCAGAGAAGGTCAACAGATTGGCGAAAGGTTACTTCTAACATTATATTTCACATTCCTCAGTGCAAGTCCCGGTTCCCACAAGTTTTAGGGAAGGACAGGTGCAAGGAACAGGGACCCGCGAAGTCTTCAGTCTAAGTAAAGCCGGCAGCCCATGAGTGTTGGACACCCCAGGTGCCGGACACTGGGTCGGTGCGGAGGCAGCAGGCCCGCACACGGTCCAGAGCGGCACGCTTATTCTTACTGCCCGCCCAAGCTGCACCAATCCTGGAGGTGATGGCTCTGCCACCGCGCCTCCAAACAAAGGGTGCAGGCGGAGAGTTTGAGCCCCTGAGGGGTTGTGGGGCGGAGGGTGGAGGTTGCGGCAGGAGGGCGCGGGAAGGAATGAGGAGTGCAGCCAGACACGGAGTGGTGAAAGCCTCCGAGCCACCGCCGTCGTCTGTGCCACCCGCGGTGGGTGCGACAGCCGCCCCGAGCCCAGGCGGCGTGGGGCGCCCGCTGCAAAGCGAAACCGAGGAAAGGGCGCCCCCTATGCCCGAGCCCGGCGAGCGCATCAGCGAGTCGCGTCTGCCCACCCCGCCGAGCGTTTGCCGCCTCCGGCCTCTGCGTTCGCCCGCCGGTTCACAGTGCAGTTCGCCGGGCCGTCCGGGCCGCCGGGATTTAGGGTGTCCACCGCTGGCCGGTCCGGCGCGCAGCTGGGGCCGGGGGCCAGGGCTCCTCGCACCTTGCAAGGTTCCCACGAAGGGTCCTCGAAACACGGCCCCCTCCCCCATCTCCTACACTTGCCCTCCGTCCCGAGCGGCTCCAAGCCACTTGGAGACAGCCACCCCCGCCCCCTGCCTCTGCGTCCCTTTCCCCTTCCCTCTCTCCAGCCTCCTGGGAAACAAAGGGGCTTTTTATAAAGCGGATAGTTGGCGGCGGCGGCGGCAGCGGGGGTGGGAGGG